CTTCCATACACTTTAAGATGCCCTAGGGCCGGTTTCTTTAGTTAAGATATAATCCCATTAATAAGAGAGACTATAGTAAAGAACTTCTTATATGGTGTACGCTATTAGTTCTTATAGTTTAGAGTATAATTATATAGATATACCATAGCTTATATAATTTCTAGCCAAAGGTCCTATAGTAGGTTGGCGTTAAGGCGCATTATATAGGCTTTCTCCTTAATTATACCCCCTAAGCGCTCGGCTCCTCTATTCTAGGCCTAACCGATAAGCAGCGACGGATCTGGCCGAATCCGTGCCAGAATGGGTTTAACGTTAGGGTTCGAGCGCGCAGGATCGGGAATTTAGGGGGCAAAACCATATAGCAAATCCGCGTGTGTTCCAGCCCGAATCCATGAAATCATCTCACAGGAAAGGTGTTCGTCTCACCTTTCCCCACGCCTCCGTCGCTTTGCATCCCAAATCGGACATTGTTAGGGTTGCGTGGTAGGGTTAGGGTAAACAGACTTAGGGTTATCTATGGAACTCGTCTGGGACGCACGGACCGGCAACATTGGAAATGACCAACAGCTGGCGCTGCAGCACCCGCAACCAATTGCCAGTGAAGGCGCCCAGGAGACGGCAGCGTGGTCTGTTGAGAACATCGAGGAGCATCTCCAGTACTTGCGCAGGTATGGGGTCCTGATCTACAAGAGCCACAAGGCTGGCGTGCAGAATCTTGACGTCCATCTCCGCCAACACCATACTATACCAACGAAGATCCGCCTCGCAATCGTTGAGCACTTCAAACACTTCCGGGTCAAAGATCCGAAGATGGTCAGTCTCCCACGGCCGCTAGGAAAGCCGATTGAGGTGCTTGGAGAGCCAACAGATGCGTTCTACTGTAACGCGGAAGAATGCGACTTCATCATAATCAACATAGATGGACTGAGGAAGCACTGCAAGAAGAAGCATGGGGAGTTATGGAAGGGCGACACGACTCGACTGTATACCGAGGTCAGAGTGCAGACCTTCTTCAAGACGCCTGGGCTGCAGCGCTACTTTATCGTGAGTCACGGTGGCCGACCGAGTAGCCCGGCCGCTGCGGATCGCGGAGATGAGATCAAGGCGCTGCTTGGCGAATGGAGAGGAGACCTGCAGCTACGTGAAGAGGAAGCGCAGGTTCTGGAGGCGGAGGTGGCGAAGACCGACAGGACGGGTTGGTTCAATCGGACCAGATGGCTGGAGCATCTGGGCGGGCGAAACTTGAAGCACCTGGCACACGCGGCAAGGCTCCCCGGCCCGGACGAACCGAAGCTGAAGCATGCTGGCGACCTGGTGGAGAAGGTGCTGGAGAGGAGCGTGGCTGGGCTGCGGACACTGCCGCGAGAGACGCGGCGTTGGCTGAAGAGCGCGAAGGCGTCCAAGGTCGATCAGCGACCGCAGGGGCGGCTCCAGAATCCCGAATCACAGGCTCGCTACGCCGGTTACATGAAGCTGTTTGTGTGCTACTTCCTGCGCACCCTGTCCAGCATGGAAGCAGGAGAGAGCGACGACAGCGACGGCGACAGTACGGTCAGTAGCAGCAGCGAGAGCGCCAACAGCAGCAGGAAGAGCAGCAGCAGGAAGAGCAGCAGCAGGAAGGAGAGGTCTCAGGTGGACCCGATGAAGGACGCGCGGGAGCTATTCCCATGGCAAGGTAACCAAAAGATCCTGGCTAGCGAATTCTGGGCTTCTCTAGATGGCCAAGACGAAAGTTGCCAGATGGAAGCATTGCTACGTGTACTGGCAGCGTTCATCTTCCACAAACACAACGGGTTTGTCTTTACCAGCGGGCTCATCCACTTCACAGCCATACTAGGAATCGATGCGGATGCAGGCCGCCTACGTCCCGCAAAGCACTATTCGTACCTGCTGGCTGGGGTCGTGTACTGCGTGCGGGTCCTCGGGGCGGAAGTGCTACTCCCAGCATCCCAGCGTGATCGCCAGGCCGACAATGAGCTGGCCGCTTTCCTGACAAAGCGAAGGGAGTTTCTGGCAGACGGCTCGTATAGTCCCATAAGCGAGATACTAAGCCTGTTGGCGTTTAGCAAGCACATTGCATTCAACGATGGAAATGCCGGTGCAGCCCTGTGGTCGCAGGATAAAAAGATCTTATACTACCGGGGAAAACCCATCAGGATCGAACGCTTCCAGCAGATGGCAAAGGACTTAATGACCGAGCTTGAAGAGGAGATGTGGCAAGAATTGCTCTGGGTCCCAGACAAAGATGGCAGGTTTTCTATCCGGCTCAATTTGATCCAGGATGATATCACCTTCTCTCGCCGCGGCTCGTACTTTATGAATGAAGAAAATGGGCTTGCTGATGGACTGCGATCTATGCTTGAGCGAGCTTTCAAAAGCAAAGAAGGGCAGGGGTTACGAGCACCCAATGGCCAGTGGAACATCTGGCAGGTGAAACGATATCTGCGAGCTGTGAACCACTTCCTAGGCAAGAAGTTGGTTGCCTACCACGTATTCAACGGGCAGCCGGCTCGAGGCAGTGAGCTTACGGCCATGCGGTTTCGAAACGGCGCGCTACAGGATCGAAACCAGGTCGTCCTAGATGGGGTGATGATGACTGTCATTCGCTACTACAAATCGATGTCGCAGTGGGACAGCCCTAAAGTCATCCCCCGCTTCCTACCTGCGCGGCTAGGCCAGATTACTACCATCTACCTGGCGTACGTGCAGCCGTTCGCGGAGTATCTACAGGTTAAGGTTCTAGGCGGCTCGTTCAGCGACTACATCTGGGCCGACAGTCATGGCCCGTGGGGAACAGACCGTTTGACCCGAGCTTTAAAGCAGGAGACAGGAAAGCGCTTGGGTGTAGCGCTCAACACGCGCGAGTATCGACACGTCACCGTTGGCATTAGAAGAGTGGTCATAGGAGAGTCGTTCAGCCGCGGCTACCAGGATGAGGTTAGTGAGGAAGAAGAGCCTAAAGCTAAAGACGAGAGCCCACTAGAGCTGCAGAATTCGTGGACGACAGCAACAGGCGTCTCTGTGTACAGCGTGCCAATCGACATCGTCAAGCACCTAAGCAATCGGTCGATTAAGACCTTTCGACCACTCAGCGAGGCATGGCACAACTTCCTAGGTCTCGGGAAGCAGATGAACGGCGGACAGGTTAGCAGCCTGCAGGTTAGGCAAACGTATAAGCGGCAGCGTGAGCCCGAGAGCACCCCAGCAGGACAGCCTCTTAATCCACATCTAAAGCGGGCTAAACTAGAGCCTAGCAACCTTCAAAAGAACATCAAAACGGCCATACAGCATGTCCTAAAAAGCTCAGAGGTTTCGTTCAAGTCAGGGGAACAAGAGCAGGCTATACATACTATAGTTCAAGGCCAAACACCGCTTGTTGTTGTCCTTCCAACCAGTGGGGGGAAGAGCTTGTTATTCACAGTTCCAGCTTCCATGCCAGGCGCCAGGGTCACCATACTCATGGTTCCCTTCCAAGCCTTGATCGAGGACCACGTGCAAAGGATATCGCAGAGCGGGGTTACCTACGCTAAATGGACATAGGCACAAACACACTACCCTACCTCTATTATTATTATGAGTGCTAATGTTGCCGGCAGCTCAAGCTTCCTGCAGTATGCGATCTTGCTCAACGAGAGGAAGCTGCTGCAGCAGGTGGTAATTAATAAATGCCACCTAGTTGTCACGTCCAGCCATTGGCGTCCAAAGCTTACTAGCCTTCGAGATCTTCGCATGCTGTCCTGCCCGATTATCTTACTAACAGCAACCCTCCCACCGGCGCTAGAAGAAGTGCTTGCGCAGGATATATTAATATCATATACCACTTACATCCGAGCCAACACTATACGGCCAAACATCCGCTATTTCGTGTCGTGGTGCGCCCAAGGCAAGGCAATGGAGACAGCGCTGGCAATAAGCCGACGGCAGGTACAGGCGTTACAGAAAGGCAAGAAAGGCGTCATCTACTACCGTGCTAAGGCGCAGTATGAGAAGCTGGCGGAGGCACTACAGTGTATATACTACCACGCTGGGGTATAGGATCGTATAGATCGTCTGGAGCGGTGGCTAGCGCAAGGGGGCTTTATTATAACCACATCTACGCTTGGCACTAGGGTGGACTTTCCCGGCATCGTGTTTGTCTTGCACGTGGGGATGCCGTGGAGCATAATCAACTACTATCAGGAGAGCGGGCGGGCTGGGCGCGGTGGTAAGGTTGCCAACTCGGTCATCATCATAGAGCAGGGCGAAGTAGAGAGGCAGCTGCAGCAAAGTAGGGATTCTACAGACGTCTACGCAATGGGCACGTTTATTTAGAGCGATAGATACCAACGAGGATACATAAGTAAGTACATGGACAGTATACGGGTAGCGTGCAACGACATTAAGTCAGCAGGGTACGATCGATGCAGGGAGGGGCAAGCCAAGTGGCAACAATCGCAGTCAGAAGCAGCCAGTGGCTGGCAGGAGGTAGAGGAGTTTATAAGCAAGTTGTAAGCAGGCTATATAACGTGCTGGGTACTAGGCAACGGGGACTGGCAAGCACACAAGACCATACAGTGCGAGGCAGAGAAGCTGTATACAGGCACAGAGTTGGATTGGTTTCGGAGGGGCGTACGTGACGCTGGGGATTGCCACAACTACCAAAGGTGCTGGGTTAGCCAGAGGTGGTGTACAACAGGGCAGGACATTAACAATAAGTGCCAGTGGCCGAACGTAGTAATTCCGCTAGTAAGAGTTGCCATAGGGATTAAAGAGGGATTAGCGATTATTTGGTAGTATAGTTTTTAGGGCAACTATAAGCAAAAGTTCCAGGCTTATCAGACATGGCTTGGGAGACGATTAATAGTAAGGGTATGGGGAGAGTTTATAAGTAACGCCATAGTAGTTACTATTTAGGTAATACAGAAAGGAATAGCGCTAAAGAAAAGATAGGGTTATTAAACAAAAAGGTATACTTATAAAGCGAGGTATTAACAAGTAAAGAAAAAAGATAAACTCCAAAAAGGGTAGGCGGTGGGCCCTCTAGTTGTTCTAAGAAAGTTAGTAGGTGGATTCTACCACCAGGCTAAACATAACAGAGTCGAGGATTAAAGTCGATTTATCCCGGTAGAGAAAGGAGGGGGAGAGTATTAAAGGCTATAAACGAAGCGTATTGCTAAGCTATCTAAAGAATATTACTACCAGCCGAGTAAATCGCGTAGGGAGATAACTACCAGGATAACATCTTTTCCATTGCCTCATGGTTTTAGAGCAGGGCCTGGCGGCTTTATAGCTACCACTACAGGCGTAGCACTACCTCCTAGCTTAGGTAGTGGGGGTAGGGGTGCTCTACCTAAGTAGGGGTCACGTATATCCTTAACGAATAACTGACTATGCATGGCCAATATAGCCAACGAGAAGATAAATACATATACTATAGTAGACCACTAGAGCGCTTACTATACCTTCCCCGTAGTAATTATAAATATAAATAGACCTAGAGAAGATCTACTACCATCTTCCGTGGCAGCTAATGCTGTACCATTACTAGAGGAGACTGGCTATAGTGCAACGAATTTAATAGCCGCCGCCATTTAGGTTACAGTAATAGTAGAGGTAAGTGCTAGTCCCATAGCTACCTAGAACAAGAGGAGTGTCCATTTTCTATATATCTCCATACGTTACTAAACGGCCATGGGGGGGTCTTTTAGCATTGCTTATTAGCCTTTATAGATATAAAGCTTTAAAAGAGCGAACGGGACTAGCGCAACGTAGAACATTGCTACTAATATAGCTAGAAGGGGGGGGAATATGCAACCCTAAAGCGTAAGGGCGAACTGAATAAGTGGTTTAGGATCCGTACCATTTAGAGGTAGAGCGGCGTATTATTAAAGCTTTAACATTAAGATTAATGCCGCCGTGCCCTACGAAGGCATGTAGGTAAGATTTAATAATAATCTAGAGCATAACCCTACATAGGGCCATTAGCCTCCCCCCCCCAAAAAAAATTAAGGAGAGATGGGAATCGGTTTACCAAAATAGCCGATTCGGATATCGAGAGGACTTAAGCCACCAGCTATAGGCATGGTAAGCTTAACGAGGTAGATGTTATATAGTCCAGGTAGACACCCAGTCATTAAAAGCACTTAAATACTTTATTAGCTGAGCCATAGGAAGTGGATCCCAAAATCTTACATACCATAGAATATCGTAAGCGGGAGAAGTAGTAGGTAGGTAAAGAAGCACTAGTTTATATCTTCTAGGTTCGCCATTAGTGCATATTGCATCCATAACATAATGGTACTTACACCAATTATCTATCTAAGGCATATTAAGTCTACTACGCAATCTAGCAGTAGAGGAATCAGTCGCGTAGTAGGATACGTTAACGTTATAATCTAGTGGGAAGTGTATTAAATAATTAGTATTAACATAAGCTACGATACACATTATAAGCCATAGAGATAAAGTATACTTAAAATATCTTCTCTACGTATAAGGGTACCTGTAGTAAAAGACGGCATACGAAATTTACCACCCTTACTACCTTTTGTAGGGATATTAGGCCACTAGACGGCGTGACGCTGTGGCGTAGTTATTAGTAGTAAGTATAAGGGTGTTAGTTACTTAAACAACTTACCATGCCATCTAATAGTAACACCTAGATATGCTATGGAAAAGTGATATATCGTGTAATTATACAACCGGTCATTATAAGATAAGCCACCCTAGCCTATTTAATTTTACCTTATAGGCTTTAGTTAACAATCTATATCGCAGTTATTATCTATATTAGACCACTACGCTTACCTATTTATTAGCTTTACCGCGCTCCAGTATAAACTATCCTAGACTAGGTGCTTAAAGTTTCCCATCCTATAACTCTACCACCATCGAAGGCGCTAATAGCAATGGACGCCATATACCTTACCAGGCATTAAGCTATAGCCATAATAAGAGAAGGATCAGCTTACTAATCTTTTTTTATCAGCCTCTTACCAGGTATCTTTATATAAGTAGACCACTTGCCATTATTTAACTAAAATATATGTCCCTACTACACGCCACTTATCTTTACTACTAAACTATACAACGCTTTTCTAGTATGTTAGAGCTCCAATCGGCCTATTTATTTTATTTTATTTTATTTTTATTTTTGCTTTTCCTAAGAGAGAATAGAAGGCAATTAACAATAATAAAGTGCGCTAGCTGCCAACAAGAGGTAAATATAGTTCATTTAATATACGGGTGCTATGTCTAGTGTTACGGTTATTCACCTTAGGATACTACCAATCAACCTAGGTGTCTTGGGGAGCGAATGCGCAAGGTAGCTTTTCAGGGATCACTAAGGATTAGGGCTAATCATCGGGTTCAAGGCAAGAAGGCTAAGAGAAGGAATGTGGTTAGGAGTAGATAAGGAGAGGAAGGTTAGACTTTCCCTATATATAGTCTTTACTAACATTTATATCCAACAAGTAGCAAGCACACATCTTTCCTATTCATAATTAATATACTCTTTCCTTCTAGCGCTAATTCTCCGTGCCGTGCCCAATTCATTCACTTATAACTTAGGATACCTTTCTTACATACATATATAGATTTCATACGCTTTTTAGTAGCTCTACGTCTTCAGGTAAGACTAGAAAATCATATCTTTTATACTCATCCCACATCTTTTTCATACAAGGAGATTCTAGGTCGGCCTATAGTTTCCTATCCACCCTAGGTTAGAGGAGCTATAGACGGATCAGAAGACGGCCATCTTACCTAGTATCATTAAAAGTGGTACGGTCGGTAGTAATAATAAGAGCGGGGCATGTAAGGTCGGTAATAATTTATTTTAGAGGCGCTTCTACAAAGGCCGAAAATATTATAGAGTCATCTTTGATCTCAGTAAAGCCTCCCGCCCTAAAAGGCCTAATAATCAAGAAGCCTTTCCCTTTCAGCATCTCCTTTGCTTCTTCCATATAGCCAGGATCCTAAGCTAGTAGTTAGATGTTGTTCGCACTACACATATCCGCCATAGTTAAGGCGACCGAATGCTGGATCGTGCTAGGACGGATAAATTCGGCTTCCAGCTCCTGCCCACTCAAGCCCGTTTACCGCCTATACCACTCTAGAGGTCCACGACACATATCGCCCAGTCCAAAGCAAATAATCTTGGCTACCATTCTCACGCTGAACACCTCCTTAAGCCGAGACCATAGTAAGCAGTAGCTGGCACTCTAACTCTAGGTGTACCTATTCTCTTCGAAAACGGTGTCGGCGTTCTTAATTATGCCTTAAAATCGTTTCGCGTAAACGTTCTCCTAGTAGACCAGATATAAGCAGTGGTATATCTTAGAAGGGCCATTAGGCTACGCTATTACTAGTCGCCAGTACTCTCGGTATGTAACGTGGGGCCGCCTATAAGGTAATTAGCTGTTCTACACACCACATAGGTACAAAGCACTTCCTTACCAAATTAGGCATCTTTCTATAAACATAGGATTCTTTATGCAAGCTTCCGTACCGTCAATTAAGCGAATAGTAAAGTATTCAAGGTCCATAGATTATAGAAGTTGCTATTCGATATATTAAAGATTGTCCTTTAACCATAATTTAACACCGTCCTCGTATAGATTAGATACAATTTAACTACTCTTTCGCCACTCTAAGCAACCGTACGCTAGGAAAGATGTATTGGATGGCATGGTAC